TTGTACAGAGTCCCTCGAAGACGTCCCACGGCCAGGAACAAAATTCCTGAAATTACCCTGCTATGAAGAGTGAAGAGTATTATAACTGATAGACGGGTAATGGTAGCATACGAAAGTTATGAGAAATGGGTTCACCATTTGTGCATTTATAGAGCGACGAACATCCTTGTTTTATCCCCGAGCGACAGCAATGGTGACAACAAGTACCATCTTTTAACGTATTTAGGTTTGACGCGGCCAGGGTATCGAACCACCAACCTTACGCTCTGCTGAAACATCACATTAAATAGCAGTGGTTAAAAAAGATTCACTAACCCGGAAGGTACACGTTACATTACTCGGTGTGTCGGCCTAGACAGTCATCCGAGGTCCGACGATGAAACTGTTCATGTAGGTGTATCGGCCTAGACAGTCCTCCCAGGTCCCTCGATGAAACTGTATGTGTATCGGCCTAGACAGTCCTCCCAGGTCCCTCGATGAAACTGTAGGTGTATCGGCCCAGACAGTCCTCCGAGGTCCCTCTTTGAATCTGTACATGTAGGTGTACCGGCCAAGACAGTCCTCCGAGGTCCCTCGATGCAACTATATATGTAGGTATATCGGTCTAGACAGTCCTCCCAGGTCCCTCGATGAAACTGTAGGTGTATCGGCCTAGACAGTCCTCCCAGGTCCCTCTTTGGATCTGTACATGTAGGTGTATCGGCCTAGACAGTCCTCCGAGGTCCTTCGATGAAAGTGTACATGTAGGTGTATCGGCCTAGACAGTCCTTCCAGGTCCCTCGATGAAAGTGTACATGTAGGTGTATCGGCCTAGACAGTCCTCCCAGGTCCCTCGATGAAAGTGTAGGTGTATCGGTCTAGACAGTCCTCCTAGGTCCCTCGATGAAAGTGTAGGTGTATCGGTCTAGACAGTCCTCCGATGTCCCTCGATGAAAGTGTACATGTAGGTGTATCGGCCTAGACAGTCCTTCCAGGTCCCTCGATGAAAGTGTACATGTAGGTGTATCGGCCTAGACAGTCCTCCCAGGTCCCTCGATGAAAGTGTAGGTGTATCGGTCTAGACAGTCCTCCGATGTCCCTCGATGAAAGTGTACATGTAGGTGTATCGGCCTAGACAGTCCTCCCAGGTCCCTCGATGAAAGTGTAGGTGTATCGGTCTAGACAGTCCTCCTAGGTCCCTCGATGAAAGTGTAGGTGTATCGGTCTAGACAGTCCTCCGATGTCCCTCGATGAAAGTGTACATGTAGGTGTATCGGCCTAGACAGTCCTTCCAGGTCCCTCGATGAAAGTGTACATGTAGGTGTATCGGCCTAGACAGTCCTCCGAGGTCCCTCGATGAAACTGTACATGTTGGTGTATCGGCCTAGACAGTCCTCCGATGTCCCTCGATGAAAGTGTACATGTAGGTGTATCGGCCCTCGATGAAACTGTACATGTTGATGTATCGGCCTAGACAGTCCTCCGATGTCCCTCGATGAAACTGTACATGTTGGTGTATCGGCCTAGACAGCGATCCGATGTCCCTTGATGAAACTGTACATGTAGGTGTATCGGCCTAGACAGTCCTAGGCTAGCCCTATGGTCACAATAGGCTGTATTCATTATAAAGGGTACATTTCAAATCCACTGTCCAAAATTCCCAGACTACAATTATTTGATGATATATATACTAGAGTTATTATATATAAAAAAATTGTTAAACGCAGCATAAAAGTTCACCTTGCTAAGTTAGTTTTCTTACATCCAGTCGAAAATGAGGTTATTAAGGAGATGGGACAGGTATTATCTGACTCTGTCAACACTGAGGTTCCAAAATACCATGCGAAAGTTATTATCGAGGACGAATATTTTCATAAATACTCAACATAAAAACATGAAAAGCTTCCATTGAATGTCCCTATTATTGAATAATTTCTTTAACACCATGTCGTAACAACCGACCAACTTGATTACCGGGGGTTCGTGATCTGTGACTTGGCTCATCATGTGTTATCGTACCGCGATGGCGCTGGTCGTTGCTCATGTTAACAATCACTCGCGTATATGCTTCACAGGCCGCAGTAATTAATATGGCTGACCTAGTGCTAACGACAGCATAAAACAACATTCAATCACTATCACTAACCGTTTGACATCACAGTCACCATGACCTCAATTGCAATTTTCAAGTAGTTCAATATCAACCAACCGTGATACAAGCAGCATTATTCTATGACTCATCAAACACACTGACTGTTCAAACGTCGGGAGAAATAGTCCGATATGAAATGTTTAATGTTTAGAATATGTTAATATTATTCTCTATGAATATTTCCTCATGGAAACAAGTTTCAATGGGACCATAACGAAAAGTTTCGTCCATACGTTAATGAGAAACACCAGCGTCGCATTATCGGACGGAAATTGAAGCTGGCAAGTGTAAATCGTGGGATGTAATACGAGATCGTGGGTGGGTCGTTTTCTGTGGCCCAGTGGCCAAGCTCTCTTGATGCTGAGTTATTCTATCACTAATTGTGACGTAACTATTTAAATCCTGAAACGATACCTTTCGACTTGGTATGCAGATTATTAATAATGTAGTGTGTGTGTGTGTGTGTGTGTGTGTGTGTGTGTGTGTGTGTGTGTGTGTGTGTGTGTGTGTGTGTGTGTGTGTGTGTGTGTGTGTGTGTGTGTGTGTGTGTAAGTGTGTGTGTAAGTGTGTGTGAGTGTGAGAGAACGTGTGTGTGTGTGTGTGAACGTGTGAAAGTGAACGTGTGAACGTGTGAAAGTGTGTGTGTGTATATACATCACGCACACGCACACGCAAACACACACACACACACACACACACACACACACACATATATATATATATATATATATATGAATAAACACGGGTAAGGAGAAGGATGAACAGGGATAGTGAGAAGGATGGACAGGGATAGTATGATGATGAAATGGGATAGTGAGAAGGATGAACAGTGATAGTGAGAAGGATGAACAGTGATAGTGAGAAGGATGAACAGGGATAGTGAGAAGGATGAACAGTGATAGTGAGAAGGATGAACAGGGATAGTGAGAATGGTGAACAGGGATAGTGAAAAGGGTTGGACAGGTATAGTGAGAAGGATGAACAGGGAAAGTAAGAAGATGAAGTGTGATTGTGAGATGGATGAACAGGGACGGTGAGAAGGATGGACAGGGATAGTGAGATGGATGAACAGGGACGTTGAGAAGGATGGACAGGGATAGTAAGAATGGTGAACAGGGATAGTGAAAAGGGTTGGACAGGTATAGTGAGAAGGATGAACAGGGATAGTGAGAAGGATGGACAGGGATAGTAAGAAGATGAAGTGTGATAGTGAGATGGATGAACAGGGACGGTGAGAAGGATGGACAGGGATAGTGAGATGGATGAACAGGGACGGTGAGAAGGATGAACAGGGAAAGTAAGAAGATGAAGTGGGATAGTGAGATGGATGAACAGGGACGGTGAGAAGGATGGACAGGGATAGTAATAAGATTAAGTGGGATAGTGAGAAGGATGGACAGGGATAGTAAGAAGATGAAGTGGGATAGTGAGAATATATATATATATATATATATATATATATATATATATATATATATATATATATATATATATATATATATATATATATATATATATAATTTTAAGACTGCCTGTGGTATTACACTCTTCTAAATCTAAATATATTTTGGAAATATAAGTAACAAATTTGGTCGGAAAGTTTTCGGTTACTCTCTCTTTCGATTGAACTCGTGGACCATGCTTAAAACAAACAATATCATGATATAGTTGCCCATGAGTGTTGTTTGGATTGGCCGACACAGGTGTTCGGCAGAGGCGTCAAGGACAAGAAGAAAAGTATCTATCTAGAAGTAAAATTGGCAGTTGTGCTGAATTGTGTCCCTTGGTGTGCCAGAACCCTATCAACGTGCTCCGAAAACAAGATTCGACCCAATTAAGTTTCTTGGTTTGTCAACACGCAAGTGCGCGTTGTTATCATCGACATGGTAAACGTCTAAGCCCTGCATCACTTTATGCTTTCGTCTCACATCAAGCTTTTCTCTTTCTCACATCAAGCTTTTCTCTTTCTCACATCAAGCTTTTCTCTTTCTCACCTCAAGCTTTTCTCTTTCTCACCTCAAGCTTTTCTCTTTATCACCTCAAGCTTTTCTCTTTCTCACATCAAGCTTTTCTCTTTCTCACCTCAAGCTTTTCTCTTTCTCAAATCAAACTTTTCTCTTTCTCACCTCAAGCTTTTCTCTTTCTCACCTCAAGCTTTTCTCTTTCTCACAACAAACTTTTCTCTTTCCCACCTCAAGCTTTTCTCTTTCTCACCTCAAGCTTTTCTCTTTCTCACATAAAGCATTTCTCTTTCTCACATCAAGCATTTCTCTTTCTCACATCAAGCTCACACATACATTGAGATTCTCCTTATTTGAGTGTGGCAGATTTTTGGTGAAGATCCAAACATGATTCTAAGCTGAGTGAATATATATGATTTTTCCGATTTAACCACAATGATTACATGATTCTAAAGACATACCTGTTTCAGATAAAACATGATTAAAGTATTTGGATTCTTTTGGGATGGATATTATAACTACAGACTTTGGGTTTGAGTTGTATTTTCAATTCTCAAGATCATTTTCTTTTACGCGCTCATCCATGATTTGAGCAGAGAGATGAGAATAACATGATATAGTTGGCCGAATTACTAAAGACAAGAACACGTATACGTAGTTGATGTTGACCAACTCTACATATTCCCCCGTGACGATGTCGGGTTTAGGTCGGTCCACAAAAACTCTATTGTTATTGTAAGAGGCGACTGACTCAATGGATTGGTTTGTCAGTCTTGGTGAATTTAGTCATCGGCGTGCAATGTTGCTCAATATACCAATTACTGGTGTGTCTGTTGACACGATCAAACATCCCCCCCCCTAAAAAAAAAAATCTGTCAATGTGTGTCAGTACTTTGAGGAAACGAGCCATGGAAGAAGCAACACCTATCCAGGCTACCTACAAAACAGAAGAAGGCCGCCAGACTCCAGAAAACGTTCCACATCTTCCTTCGTTCCCCAGCTTAAAGAGTTCCCTCTATCGACATCGCCGAACAACACTACCTGTCCTGCCACAGACCAGAGCTGATTTTCACCTTGAGGGGCTGTGGACCACTACCAGGGATGGAAGAATATCCCCCCTCTGCGCAGACGGTGACGAAGACAAGATCCTGATCTTTTCCACTGATGAGCAGCTGAGGTGTCTTGCGGAAGTTTATACGGTCTACATGGATGGTACGTTTTCCTGCTGTCTTCATCTCAAAGTGCATAAAACATCTATCCTGTAAATTCCTCACAATGTGTGTTTTCTGGTCTGTTCCACTCAATGAAAGGTAAACAGGTAACTATTGCTTGACTAACCAACCTTGACTAATCCTGGTATAAGCTGTCTGACAAATGGGATGTCTGACAATTGGGAGGTTACCTATACAGACAGAGGGAGTATCATTGCCCGGCCCTCGGTATCATTAAGCCATCAAGCCTGACACAGGACAGAAGGTATGATAATATTCAAGTTATGATCTCGATGAAATATTTCCGGGTGTGAAATTAGCACCACAATGGCAGCACATAATCGGGTTGTTAGAAATAGTTCCGTGTGTTCCGGAAGCAATAGCAGCTGAATGCATTCACAATACGCAACGTGTCACCCTGATGACTTGTGTTTGAGCGATTCATACGGTAATCGCTATCAAGGAAATTAACCTGTCCACACTGAGTTGTATGGATAATTTATTCATTTCCACACCAAATCAAGTAGCATTAGTTTCTACATGTCCTGTAGTGAGCTGCTGTGCATTTCAGAATGGCGTATGAGTGAATACTACTACCCATTTATACAATTCTCTTGGCCATGTCAACTACACAAGGTAGTAAGTATGTTATTTACTGTTTAAGAAATGCCAAGGAATGTTTGGTCATTGAACTCTGTGTGTAGGGCTGTATATTTGGGTGGTGTCATGGGGAGAGTTTAGTTTCCTCATAACCGGTTCGTCGGTTGGCTCGCTTTTTGTGATAAATTAAAAGTATCTATATATCTAGGTTCGTTATATAGCTAAAATATTGCTGGCTACGACGTTGAACAACAAACAAACATTCTTTGTCCTATCTGAATACTATGGTGGCCGAGAGGGGACATCGCTTTCTCGCTCTATCGCTTTATCGCTTTATCGCTTTATCGCTCTATCGCTTTATCGCTTTCTCGCGGTTAAGCAGTATCCCCTCTTGACCACTACAGGGGCCGCATGTGATATCTGCTGCAATTGGGAGGAAATGTTGAACTTTTCTCACTATTTACTTAAAACATAATTTAACTGTACAGACGTAGGTGATTTTAAAACAATCCACCGATTTTTGCGTAAAATGTAATTGATTTATTTATGGCCCTATTCAGTTGTATGTGACCATCACGCCGAAAGCGCGTGGCAGATTATGGCAATACGCTCTAAATAAATCAGGTTAAAATCTAAATATATACTTTTCAAAAGAAGTTAAGAAGACTATGGTTAATTAGTCATGGCTGATTGTTTTGCAAAAATACAATCTTATAATTGTGGGTGTTCTATAACTTGTTTTCGGTAGTATATGATTTACAGTGTGTCATAAGGTTGTCCGTAAATGTTCTTTTTGACATTTGATGTATGTTTAACTTGAATTGTGTAAATCTACAAATATATGTACTTGCATACAGTAATTTGATAAACACCGCTGTGAGTGAGTGAGAATGGTTTCACGTCGCTTTTAACAATAATCCAGTTATATCACGGGTAACACCAGAAATGGGCTTCACACATTGTACCCATGTGGGGAATCGAACTGGGTCTTCGGCTTGACGATCGAACGCTGTAACCACTAGGCTATCCAACCGCCCCCATCGCTGTGGCGGTACCACAGTTGATATGTGTACTTGTGTAAACTACACATATGGAGAGACATAATTAGTATGGCCACATAGTTAAGGTTGATAACAATATGAAATGAATTACTATGATTATCTATAACATATATTAAATCAGCTATCATTGTGATATGTTATGTATATCTTAAGTATAGTTTTGTCAAAATTATCTATGTGTGTGTGTGTGTGTGTGTGTGTGTGTGTGTGTGTGTGTGTGTGTGTGTGTGTGTGTGTGTGTGTGTGTGTGTGTGTGTTTCCGACTCATTGTCTGTGTAAAAAGGTAGTAGATAACAACAGAACTCATATCAGAACGCACAATTGTTAACCATACATTTTAAATTGATAGAGAATTGCTACATGAATATGTATATTCCTGCCTGAGCCTATACTATAATTGGATATCTAGTCTCTCCTTGCGGGAAAGTTCAACTTTATTTTACGAGCACTTTAGCATTAAATTTAATTCCCGAAGACAGTTTGATCGAAAGTCATTATAAGAAATGAGTTGTTTAAAAAAAATATTTACAACGCATTTCATTTCTATTGTCCAAGGAATGGGGTTACGGGTTAATGACGCTCTCGAAAGTCGTATATGTGACTTAAGGCAGACACATATATCTAATTCATCTGTATTTTGTAAGGGAAACATAACTGTGTACATGTATGCATAATGTACACGCAACTTAATGAATATAATTGTGATCCCGAAATCGGACGAGCACATATTCGGCTTCAATTCCAAATCTAATTACCGAACAAAATAATTCTTTGGACGTTGCAAACAATACAAACTGGCTAATAAAACTGACATATATGATCTCCTTTTTATCAGTTTTAAGTTTGATGGAGAAATGGGGGGGATACTATGAACAAAATGAAAATATGAACAGTGACTATCTGTATTCTTTGAATCTTGCTTATTTATTACACTACAAGAAAATATGCAAGCTAAACGAGAAAGGAATACGTGTGTATTTTGTAACATATTTATCTACTACAAGATGTTTAAAAAATATAATCATAAGAGGCAAAATAGCGGTGAGAATTACAGGATCACTAAATATCAGCAAAAACCGTTTTCATGTACGGCATTATGGGAAATATCGCTTTCTCGCTCTATCGCTTTCTCGATTTATCGCTTTCTCGCTCTATCGCTTTCTCGCTCTATCGCTTTCTCGCTCTATCGCCCTATCGCTTTATCGCTTTCTCGCTCTATTGCTTTCTCGCTCTATCGCTTTCTAGCTTTCTCGCTTTCTCGCTCTATCGCTTTATCGCTTTCTCGCTCTATCGCTTTCTCGCGGTATAGCAATATTCCCTCTTTGGGTTTTAAACATAAAAGAGAGCTGAGATTTTTCCAGTCGCATTTCAAATTATTCATATGGACGGAATGTTGAAATTTTCTCACTATCTACTGAAATATAATTTAACAGTACAGACATATGTGCTTTTATAACAATCCACGTATTTCTGCGTAAAAAAGAATTTGATTGATTTATGACCCTATTTAGCTATTTGATCCCCCGCCCCCAGGCCAAGTTATCAAAACAAATAGCAAATAACACCGCTCAATAGCGCTGAGTAGTACGTACTTCCTAAAAAGCAATAGTGTTTTCCTAAAAACAACGCTTATATCAACGTTTATTCTGTTTGCGGAGTAGATATCATCAAAGTGGAAGTCCTCACCCAAGGAATGGTAATACTACCGGATGTCCTTTATGTAATTTCTAGTTTTTGGATGACATATTGTTCTCAGTAACCGTAATGTGGAAATAGATAGTTGATTGGTTTTATATTCAAGTTGGTATTTCCGCTATTCAAAGTGTTCAGTGAGGCCGTCTTATCAACAGTCATTTCTGAGACATAAATGCAAAGTATAATTACCTTATTCGAAAGTAATAAGCGCCCCGCTCTAATCAACGCCCACGGCGATATTTGCTAAAATATTGGCTAGTGAACAATCCCAATTAGCACCCCTTGCGATTGATGATGTACACCAGACTTATTTATTCGCGTATAATACGCACTCGTGCGTTATATGCACCCTTAATTATGGGCAATTAAATTCGGGAAAAATATATCTGTCGTACATAAACATTTCAGGCTGTCAGCATAAACCACGAAATTTATCTTTCAACTCAACTTTTTTTTTCCGCCAAAATATTTTTCTTGAGAGCGCCCTGTGCACTTATTACGTCGAATACGGTAATTATGTCTACGCTAATTTTTTGGCATTGATAATTAACGTTAATTTCAAGATTTACAGCACATACTATTCAAAAGAAGTTAAAGAACACCCGATTCCTTCATGTGACTATGGTTAGTCATTAGAAGAAGCAATAGGGTGAGAAAGCGATAGAGCGATAAAGCGAGAAAGCGATAGAGCGAGAAAGCAATAGAGCGATAAAGCGATAAAGCGAGAAAGCGATAGAGCGATAGAGCGATAAAGCGAGAAAGCGATAGAGCGAGAAAGCGATAGAGCGAGAAAGCGATAAAGCGAGAAAGCGATAGAGCGATAAAGCGAGAAAGCGATAAAGCAAGAAAGCGATAGAGCGAGAAAGCGATAGAGCAAGAAAGCGATAGAGCGATAAAGCGATAGAGCGAGAAAGCGAGAAAGCGATGTCCCCTGTCGGCCACCATAGAATACAGGTGGTTCCCGGTATCATTTGTGACACTAAGAAAATTGGAATTATGGTTCCCTGTTGAAATAGTCTTTACCTCTTTGTTATTTACTTACTTAATATGGACATTGTAACCGAAATAATAAATATGCAATGACCTGATTATGCCAACTAAGACCAGCTGCATACCATTGCTAAAGTGCTACCTCTAAAGGTTAACCTCTTCTACACGCAAAATGTCGGTAATCATATTTTCATAAAACACATGTTATGGTTTTTTTAATGTTTTTCGTAAGTTCCGGTAAAAGTATTTTTTGTTCTGCTCCTGAAACCGTCATGGTCTTTTAAGGCTGTGCTGAGTTGCCTCCCTTAGGCGTACCGGAAACCTATGTCCGCGGGTTTGAATCCCAGATTAGTATGTTTTTAGGTTAATCAGCACCAAACCTCAGCACGTGGGTTTCACCAAAAACGTAAACGACAAAACTGAAATACTGCACAAAGCGGCGTTAAACCGAGCTCACTCACTTATCTATTGTTTTCGGAGGCTCATGTATTCGTTTGGTGACCGCTGATAATCCGTATTGCTTCTCGCCTCTTATGGTTTTTTTCAAAAACATGAAAATGAACTGTACCTCCGAATCTGATGAAGCAGGTGTTTAAACATGTTATAATAACCTGATCATGACACCCACTGACATGGGGCTGTACAGACATTGTAATAACGTGTTTCTTCTCTTTCAAGTATTTGCACAACCCAACTTCATACATGGTAATCTGTAATACCTTGTTTTCCGAAAGGCATTTCGTTATTTATTCTGAGCCCGCTACCAGTTCGGCCACAGGAATAGCGAGTAGCAGATTGAGTAAATAACGTCAGAAATCGATGCATCCTGTTTAAATCGATGAAATGTCGGACTCCTCCCTGAACACCCCCACCCCCACCCATCATCACCACCCCTACCCCTACCCCTACCCCTGCCCCAACCCCCTACCCCCTACCCCCACCCCGGCTTCACCCCTACCCCTATCCCTACCCCCAACCCCACCCCCACCCCCACCTATCATCACCTGCCCCATCTCCTCCCGCACTCATCATCACCACCATGCTGTGTAACAATGTGCTTTCATTTCAGCCTTTGAAAAACCAGAAGGTACGTTTGTTATTATCATTTTGTCTCTGTTATATTTATCTATAGACACCAAATGCGTCTAATATAAGTGTGCATATCTTGTGTTTCAAGTTCTTATTTCACGTATACAAAAAGAATGAACACTGTTAGATCCATTCTACACAATTGTAAGATTCATTACAGTCAAATGACAAAGGAAATATACTGAATGTAACTCTGTGATCATGGTCTTGTTTTAGAATATTGAGTGAGTGAGTATGGTTCTACGCCGCTTTTAGCAATATTCCAGCAATATTACGGCGGGGGACACCAGAAATGGGCTTCACACATTGTACCCATGTCGGGAATCGAACCGGGTCTTCGGCGTGACGAGCGAACGCTTTACCACCAGGCTACCCGACTGCCCCTTTTGAATATTGTGATTTTCAAGAAGTTATCATTTTGTAGAAGCTTTAAAGTGTGTTGTTGATTAATTCGGATGAAGATTGTAATTCTTATTTATCAAGTTTCTAAATCACATTTCTACTGCTGTTTTTACCCATTGCGTTTACCCATTTGTACACCGAAAGGCATTTCGTTTCGGACTCTGATCTCGCTACCAATTCGGGTACTCAGTATTAAAGGACACGTGGGAATGCTTTCAAACGTTACAAGTTATTATTTAGAGATCGTAATATGTTTTTATACTTGTAAAATGATAATTCATTCAATGATAAATGTACTGTCGAATCTGATCCCATTCATAATGCATCATCTTTACGACATACATGTACGACATTGTTTTGGCGCTGTGTTGAATTCTTCTTTTTGATAGTGGGACGTATACTGAACTATATTGATGCTTTCCTTTTTAATTCGATAAAACTACGGTTGTCTCCATCTGGTATTGAAACCAAATACGACCCCGTTTGTTTCTATCATTACTTTATTCTGATTAAATGACACCCTGGTCTCAGGAGCACAGTTCCGTGGCAGACAGCGGAAGACGAGATAAAGTGAGAAGTAAACAGATTTGACGAAGTGGGGATAACCTGATCATGACACCCACTGATATGGGGCTGTACAGACATTGTAATAACGTGTTTCTTCTCTTTCAAGTATTTGCACAACCCAACTTCATACATGGTAATCTGTAATACCTTGTTTTCCGAAAGGCATTTCGTTATTTATTCTGAGCCCGCTACCATTTCGGCCACAGGAATAGCGAGTAGCAGATTGAGTAAATAACGTCAGAAATCGATGCATCCTGTTTAAATCGATGAAATGTCAGACTCCTCCCTGAACACCCCCACCCCCACCCATCATCACCACCCCTACCCCTACCCCTACCCCTGCCCCAACCCCCTACCCCCTACCCCCACCCCGGCTTCACCCCTACCCCTATCCCTACCCCCCACCCCCACCCCCACCCCCACCCCCACCCCCACCCCCACCTATCATCACCTGCCCCATCTCCTCCCGCACTCATCATCACCACCATGCTGTGTAACAATGTGCTTTCATTTCAGCCTTTGAAAAAACAGAAGGTACGTTTGTTATTATCATTTTGTCTCTGTTATATTTATCTATAGACACCAAATGCGTCTAATTTAAGTGTGCATATCTTGTGTTTCAAGTTCTTATTTCACGTATACAAAAAGAATGAACACTGTTAGATCCATTCTACACAATTGTAAGATTCATTACAGTCAAATGACAAAGGAAATATACTGAATGTAACTCTGTGATCATGGTCTTGTTTTAGAATATTGAGTGAGTGAGTATGGTTCTACGCCGCTTTTAGCAATATTCCAGCAATATTACGGCGGGGGACACCAGAAATGGGCTTCACACATTGTACCCATGTCGGGAATCGAACCGGGTCTTCGGCGTGACGAGCGAACGCTTTACCACCAGGCTACCCGACTGCCCCTTTTGAATATTGTGATTTTCAAGAAGTTATCATTTTGTAGAAGCTTTAAAGTGTGTTGTTGATTAATTCGGATGAAGATTGTAATTCTTATTTATCAAGTTTCTAAATCACATTTCTACTGCTGTTTTTACCCATTGCGTTTACCCATTTGTACACCGAAAGGCATTTCGTTTCGGACTCTGATCTCGCTACCAATTCGGGTACTCAGTATTAAAGGACACGTGGGAATGCTTTCAAACGTTACAAGTTATTATTTAGAGATCGTAATATGTTTTTATACTTGTAAAATGATAATTCATTCAATGATAAATGTACTGTCGAATCTGATCCCATTCATAATGCATCATCTTTACGACATACATGTACGACATTGTTTTGGCGCTGTGTTGAATTCTTCTTTTTGATAGTGGGACGTATACTGAACTATATTGATGCTTTCCTTTTTAATTCGATAAAACTACGGTTGTCTCCATCTGGTATTGAAACCAAATACGACCCCGTTTGTTTCTATCATTACTTTATTCTGATTAAATGACACCCTGGTCTCAGGAGCACAGTTCCGTGGCAGACAGCGGAAGACGAGATAAAGTGAGAAGTAAACAGATTTGACGAAGTGGGGATAACCTGATCATGACACCCACTGACATGGGGCTGTACAGACATTGTAATAACGTGTTTCTTCTCTTTCAAGTATTTGCACAACCCAACTTCATACATGGTAATCTGTAATACCTTGTTTTCCGAAAGGCATTTCGTTATTTATTCTGAGCCCGCTACCATTTCGGCCACAGGAATAGCGAGTAGCAGATTGAGTAAATAACGTCAGAAATCGATGCATCCTGTTTAAATCGATGAAATGTCAGACTCCTCCCTGAACACCCCCACCCCCACCCATCATCACCACCCCTACCCCTACCCCTACCCCTGCCCCAACCCCCTACCCCCTACCCCCACCCCGGCTTCACCCCTACCCCTATCCCTACCCCCACCCCCACCCCCACCCCCACCCCCACCCCCACCCCCACCCCCACCTATCATCACCTGCCCCATCTCCTCCCGCACTCATCATCACCACCATGCTGTGTAACAATGTGCTTTCATTTCAGCCTTTGAAAAAACAGAAGGTACGTTTGTTATTATCATTTTGTCTCTGTTATATTTATCTATAGACACCAAATGCGTCTAATTTAAGTGTGCATATCTTGTGTTTCAAGTTCTTATTTCACGTATACAAAAAGAATGAACACTGTTAGATCCATTCTACACAATTGTAAGATTCATTACAGTCAAATGACAAAGGAAATATACTGAATGTAACTCTGTGATCATGGTCTTGTTTTAGAATATTGAGTGAGTGAGTATGGTTCTACGCCGCTTTTAGCAATATTCCAGCAATATTACGGCGGGGGACACCAGAAATGGGCTTCACACATTGTACCCATGTCGGGAATCGAACCGGGTCTTCGGCGTGACGAGCGAACGCTTTACCACCAGGCTACCCGACTGCCCCTTTTGAATATTGTGATTTTCAAGAAGTTATCATTTTGTAGAAGCTTTAAAGTGTGTTGTTGATTAATTCGGATGAAGATTGTAATTCTTATTTATCAAGTTTCTAAATCACATTTCTACTGCTATTTTTACCCATTGCGTTTACCCATTTGTACACCGAAAGGCATTTCGTTTCGGACTCTGATCTCGCTACCAATTTGGGTACTCAGTATTAAAGGACAGTGGAAATGCTTTCAAACGTTACAAGTTATTATTTAGAGATCGTAATATGTTTTTATACTTGTAAAATGATAATTCATTCAATGATAAATGTACTGTCGAATCTGATCCCATTCATAATGCATCATCTTTACGACATACATGTACGACATTGTTTTGGCGCTGTGTTGAATTCTTCTTTTTGATAGTGGGACGTATACTGAACTATATTGATGCTTTCCTTTTTAATTCGATAAAACTACGGTTTTCTCCATCTGGTATTGAAACCAAATGCGACCCCGTTTTTTTCTATCATTACTTTATTCTGATTAAATGACACCCTGGTCTCAGGAGCACAGTTCCGTGGCAGACAGCGGAAGACGAGATAAAGTGAGAAGTAAAGAGATTTGACGAAGTGGGGATTGTGAGGAACTGGTGACGTCACGAGCTCTTGGTTTGTTTTGGAGTTAGATCGTAAAATTAGAAATGGCAGAAAAAATATAATAATCATAAGTAGGAGAATTTGTGTTGGCGTGTCAATAACGGCATTTAGTTGTTTAGCTAAATATAATTATACACATAAGTTGTTGGTTTTCAGTAAGGTATGCTCTTCTCGGCGAAGCAGGAATCTTTGTTGTCATCATCGTCATCTACTTTTTGGTCAAGCGGTGAGAAATTTATTTACTCAACACTGATACCCAAGGCAGTCTGTTTTATTTGTTTGTCACGTCCTGTCTACCTAAATTGCAGTCATGCTACAAAAATAAGTTTCTTTATTCATCCATTTGCCCGCTCTTATGTACATCATCCGGTTGTAGAAATAACGCAATATTGTGCGTCAATGTGCCATACCTCGCTTATTGTGCGTCATTGTGCCATACCTCGCTTATTGTGCGTCATTGTGCCCTACCTCGCTCAATGTGCGTCATTGTACGTTACCTCGCTTATTGTGCGTCGTTTCGCCATACCTCGCTTATTGTGCGCCAGTGTGCCATGCCTCGTTTATTGTGCGTCATTGTGCCATACCTCGCTTATTGTGCGTCATTGTGCCATTACTCGCTTATTGTGCGTCATTGTGCCATTACTCGCTTATTGTGCGTCATTGTGCCATACCTCGCTTATTGTGCGTCATTGTGCCCTACCTCACTTATTGTGCGTCATTGTGCCATTACTCGCTTATTGTGCATCATTGTGCCATACCTCGCTTATTGTGCGTCATTGTGCCTTACCTCGCTTATTGTGCGTCATTGTGCCATACCTCGCTTATTGTGCGTCATTGTGCCATTACTCGCTTATTGTGCGTCATTGTGCCCCACCTCGCCTATCATGGGCCATTGTGCCCCAACTCGCTTTTTGTGCATCATTGTGCCCCAACTCGCTTATTGTGCCCTACTTCGCTTATTGTGCATCATTGTGCCCAACCTCGCTTATTATGCGCCATTCTGTCCCAACTCGCTTATTGTGCGCCACTGTGCCACACCTAGCTTATTGAACGTAATTGTGTCCAACCTCGCTTATTGTGCGTCATTGTGCCCCAACTCGCTTATTGTGCGTCATTGTCCCCCACTTCGCTTATTGTACATAATTGAATCTAACCAACCTCGCTTCTTCTGCGTCATTGTGCCCCACCTCACTTATTGTGCGCCATTGTGCCCTACCTCGCTTATTGTGTGCCATTGTGCCCCACCTCACTTTTTGTGTGCCATTGTGCCCCAACTCGCTTAATGTGAGTCGATGTGCCCCACCTCGCTTATTGTGCGTCATTGTGCCCCACCTCGCCTATTGTGCACCATTGTGCCCCAACTCGCTTATTGTGCATCATTGTGCCCCATCTCGCTTATTGTGCATCATTGTTCCACACCTTGCTTTATGTGCACCATTGTGCCCCAACTCGCTCTTTGTGCGTCAATATGCCCCCACCTCTCTTATTGTGCATCATTGTGTCCGAACTCGCTTATTGTGAATCATTGTGACCAACCTCGCTTATTGTGCGCCATTATGCCCCACCTCGCTTATTGTGCATCATTGTGCCCCACCTCGCTTATTGTGCATCATTATTCCACACCTTGCTTTATGTGCACCATTGTGCCCCAACTCGCTTATTGTGCGTCACTGTGCCCCCATCTCGCTTATTGTGCATCATTGTGCCCCAACTTGCTTATTGGGCGTCATTGTGCCCCACCTCGCTTATTGTTCGCCGTTGTGCCCCACCTCACTTATTGTGCGTCATTGTTCCACACCTTGCTTATTGTGCGCCACTGTGCCCCAACTCGCTTATTGTGCGCCATTGTGCCCCAACTCGCTTATTGTGCCCACCTCGTTTATTGTGTATCATTGTGCCCCACCTCACTTATCGTGCATCGATCATTGTTCCACACCTTGCTTTATGTGCACCATTGTGCCCAAACTCCTTTATTGTACGTCAGTGGCCGCCACCTCGCTTATTGTGCATCATTGTGCCCAAACTCGCTTATTGTGCATCATTGTTCCACACCTTGCTTATTATGCCCCACCTCACTTATTGTGCGCCATTGTGCCCCAACTCGCTTATTGTGCATCATTGTGCCCAAACTCGCTTATTGTGCATCATTGTTCCACATCTTGCTTTATGTGCACCATTGTTCCACACTTTGCTTTATGTGCATCATTTTTCCCCAACACGCTTATTGTGCCCCACCTCGTTTATTGTACGTCAGTTGGCGCAACCTCGCTTATTGTGCCGTACCTCGCTTATTGTGCATCATTGTGCCAAAACTCGCTTATTGTGCATCATTGTTCCACAACTTGCATTATGTGCACCATTGTTCCACACCTTGCTTTATGTGCACCATTGTTCTCCATCACGCTTATTGTGCCCCATTGTGCCCCAACTCACTTATTGTGCCCTACTTCGCTTATTGTGCATCATTGTGCCCAACCTCGCTTATTATGCGCCATTCTGTCCCAACTCGCTTATTGTGCGCCACTGTGCCACACCTAGCTTATTGAACGTAATTGTGTCCAACCTCGCTTATTGTGCGTCATTGTGCCCCAACTCGCTTATTGTGCGTCATTGTCCCCCACTTCGCTTATTGTACATAATTGAATCTAACCAACCTCGCTTATTCTGCGTCATTGTGCCCCACCTCACTTATTGTGCGCCATTGTGCCCCACCTCGCTTATTGTGTGCCATTGTGCCCCACCTCACTTTTTGTGTGCCATTGTGCCCCAACTCGCTTAATGTGAGTCGATGTGCCCCACCTCGCTTATTGTGCGTCATTGTGCCCCACCTCGCTTATTGTGCATCATTGTGCCCCAACTCGCTTATTGTGCATCATTGTGCCCCATCTCGCTTATTGTGCATCACTGTTCCACACCTTGCTTTATGTGCACCATTGTGCCCCAACTCGCTTTTTGTGCGTCAATATGCCCCCACCTCTCTTATTGTGCATCATTGTGTCCGAACTCGCTTATTGTGAATCATTGTGACCAACCTCGCTTATTGTGCGCCATTATGCCCCACCTCGCTTATTGTGCATCATTGTGCCCCACCTCGCTTATTGAGCATCATTATTCCACACCTTGCTTTATGTGCACCATTGTGCCCCAACTCGCTTATTGTGCGTCACTGTGCCCCCATCTCGCTTATTGTGCATCATTGTGCCCCAACTTGCTTATTGGGCGTCATTGTGCCCCACCTCGCTTATTGTTCGCCGTTGTGCCCCACCTCACTTATTGTGCGTCATTGTTCCACACCTTGCTTATTGTGCGCCACTGTGCGCCAACTCGCTTATTGTGTGCCATTGTGCCCCAACTCGCTTATTGTGCCCACCTCGTTTATTGTGTATCATTGTGCCCCACCTCACTTATCGTGCATCGATCATTGTTCCACACCTTGCTTTATGTGCACCATTGTGCCCCACCTCCTTTATTGTACGTCAGTGGCCGCCACCTCGCTTATTGTGCATCATTGTGCCCAAACTCGCTTATTGTGCATCATTGTTCCACACCTTACTTATTGTGCCCCACCTCACTTATTGTGCGCCATTGTGCCCCACCTCGCTTATTGTGCATCATTGTGCCCAAACTCGCTTATTGTGCATCATTTTTCCACAACTTGCTTTATGTGCACCATTGTTCCACACCTTGCTTTATGTGCACCATTGTTCTCCATCACGCTTATTGTGCCCCATTGTGCCTCAACTCACTTATTGTGCCCCACCTCGTTTATTGTACGTCAGTGGGCGCCACCTCGCTTATTGGGCATCATTGTGCCCCATCTCGCTTATTGTGCATGACTGTGCCCCACCTCGCTTATTGTGCGTCATTGTGCCCCAGCTCGCTTATTGTGCAGCATCGTGCCCCACCTCGCTTATTGTGCATCATTGTGCCCCACCTCGCTTACTGTGCATCGATCATTGTTCCACACCTTGCTTTATGTGCACCAGTGTGCCCCCACCTCGTTTATTGTGCATCATTGTGCCCCACCTCGCTTATTGTGCATCGATCATTGTTCAACACCTTGCTTTATGTGCACCAGTGTGCCCCACCTCGTTTATTGTACGTCGGTGGGCGCCACCTCGCTTATTGTGCCGTACCTCGCTTATTGTACATCATTGTGCCAAAACTCGCTTATTGTGCATCATTGTTCCACAACTTGCTTTATGTGCACCATTGTTCCACACCTTGCTTTATGTGCACCATTGTTCCCCAACACGCTTATTGTGCTCCACCCCGTTTATTGTACGTCAGTTGTCGCCACCTCGCTTATTCTGTCATACCTCGCTTATTGTGCATCATTGTGCCCCACCTCGCTTATTGTGCATCATTGTTCCACACCTTGCTTTATGTGCACCATTGTGCCCCAACCCGTTTATTGTACGTCAGTGGGCGCCACCTCGCCATACCTCGCTTATTGTGCATCATTGTGCCCCATCTCGCTTATTGTTCGCCATTGTGCCCCACCTCGCTTATTGTGCGCCATTGTGCCAAACCTTGCTTATTGTGCGTCATTGAGGCCCGACGGCTTTCATTATTCTTCATGTAGTGGGATAAAAAAGTGGGGTTTCGGACGTGAAAAGTTCAATTTCAAGCGGAAATGTGACACATTTAAGTTTTGCTAGAACACTGCGATGGTACCGTACATATGCTGAAACATCTAAACAAATGTAAGTTCAAAACACTCTTATCTTTTAAGTTTATTTCCATTCATTTGACCAGTATCTCTCCAAAGACCACACCACAGGTCCACCTTTAGTGATCAGCAACAATCTATCTATTTTAATACCGTAGAATAGGTATTCAGCAACCCATGCTGGCCGTAAAAGGCGACTATGCTCGTCGTAAGAGGCGACTAAAGGGATCGGGTGGTCAGGTTCGCTGACTTGGTTGACGCATGTCATCGTATCCCAATTGCGCAGATCGATACGCATGATGTCAGTCACTGGATTGTCTGGTCCCGACTCAATTTTCACAGAAGGCGTCATTTAGCTGGAATAGTGCTGAGTGCGGCGTTAAACAACAAACAAACAAACAAAAGATTCCTATTCGGCATTAAGTTGAGATATACATGTATCTGGAAGAATAGCCACCTAAGCTTATCCATATCCGTTTTAGTAACAGTTTGCCAGACTGTGTTAATTAGTACAGAGATTTGAAGGTCAATTTCATTCAACCCAATTCAACGATTCAGATGACGTCGATTCATTCAACTGGATTCAACGATTACTGCCGCTACTCTGAGACGGAAATTCATCTAATTTAAGTCAGAATCGAGCAGTGTTCCCTTTTCCAGTTTAAAACAAAGGATTGAAACGTCTTTTTCATAGACCTTGCGTCTCCGTTATGCAGAGCCTTCAAGAAAATATCTTAAATGACAATCGATCATAATTTATATATATTTACTTATTTATTGATCATCTTTAAATTTAAAAAAAACCCTTTGATTTCAATACAAGCAATTGGTTTAATTGTGTTTATTTTCAGTTGCAAAAAGAAGAAAGCAAAGAGAGCTTCACCGAAAGAAAGGGTTGCCATATATCGCCCAATGCCCCCGAAGCTTGAGGGCACCAAGAACGGTTATTCAGCTGCTGACGTTGAATTTGTAAATAGAGATCGTCAAACAAATGTCAAACAACCCCAGCATGGTGATGGCGTTAATGAAGGTGATTATGACGTGTTGTGGAAGTGGAATCCAAAGCGGTTTAAGGTGGCGGAGACCCAAGGCGTGTACAGTCATCTGGTGATGACAAGCGGGATGAATGAGTGCCCGGACCCAGACCAGTATGACACGACGAGGCGGGTGTTGGCGGAACGACGGGCCAGGCCTGAGGAAGACTTGTATAACAAGATGGCCATACCTAATGTGTAGATACCAGCTATGAAAGCTCACCTGGTCATCATCCATCGTCAGTAATCCCCGTGTTTGAATACGTGCGGTTGCTTTGCTATTCTTAAGTAACGATTCCAGCGACGGGGAAACCTGCAGGTTCTGATGACATGGGCAGCACTTCTCGTGAACCATGTGCCGCAGCACCCATTACATCCCATTACGGGTCAGCCATTGTTCAGTTTCAGACAAAGCTCGAACTCGCACAAGCTTCACGCACGGCTAAAATGACTTCCGTGAGTTATACATAGAACACGTCCCATTTTAATTCTGGAAACCCAAAAGTCCAGAAACTCTACGGTCTTTGCCCAGTCTCGGTTAAAGGTATTTACAAAATTAAACATACCGTTTTCATGGGAACATACCAAGGAAGAAAAAATGAAAAAAAAAATTGTTCAAAAACTCAATATTTAGACTATGTCGCCCATGGGCGAAGTCTTGCCCATGGGTAGGCCCATGGGCAGGCCCATGGGCGAGAATATATTCCTTTACTTAAAACTCATGTTTTTGTTTCGCAAATACATTTAATGTATTCATTCAAGTATCATGACACAAAATTTAACTCATTTTAACTTAATTCAACGATTTTATAGCGATATTGAAATATTTCGCCCATGGGCGAGAAAAAGGTTTGGCCCATGGGCGAGAATATGTTCCTGTACTTAAAACTCATGATTTTGTTTCGCAAATACATTAAATGTATTCATTGAAGTATCATGACACAAAATTTAACTCATTTTAACTTATTTCAACGATTTTATAGCGATATTGAAATATTTCGCCCATGGGCGAGAAAAAGGTTTGGCCCATGGGCGAGAATATGTTCCTGTACTTAAAACTCATGTTTTTGTTTCGCAAATACATTAAATGTATTTATTCAAGTATCATGACACAAAATTTAACTAATTTTTACTTAATTCAACTATTTTACGGCGTTGTTAAAATATTTCGCCTATGTTTTCGTCAGTCCCTTTCAAGCATCAACTAACTGTTTGCAAAGTATATTGTATCATGTGAAATATACTTTATATTATATCATTACATTACTATTTAAAAAGGGCATTTGGTTGGATGTTTCCTTTAGTTCTACAAATTTCACCTGTTTTACATATTGTAGCGATCTTTAATGAACCCGGACTTACCTCTCAAAACGTTTTGACAGTTTATCATACGAATTCATGTGCGTGTACTCCAATTCATTGGAGTTATTTTCCACAACATTAAATTTTAGTTAGTTTCTATTTCATTTCCCATTTTATGTCCCGTTGATACATCACACTGGGCAATTACGTGACACTAGGTATGCAATATTCAGGTACGCGTGAGCGTATTTTAATGAAAAAAACTATTCGTCTTTTATTGCATAACGTTTGGCTGAATATCTTACATTCTAACGAAATCTCGAAATAATTATTTAATTACAAGCAGTGTCGAACTGACCAGTAGGAATTATGTTTCAATGCGATTGAGGAAAACGTGAGTGAATATTGTGACACTAAAGCAACTTTTAACTGCATTGTCACTTTTGGTATGAAAATGGTAATAGTTAAGAAAAACGTAACAGGCTTCTTATGATAATTCTCATATTCTCATTAGTACGTTGTGTCTAATTACAGTGTCGGCCTTATTTACAGGTGATTCTACAATACTTGTTGTCGGTCAATTACAATCTGCCGCACCACGCGTGAATAAACAGTTATGCAGGTGTTGCTGTGTGCAAATACCTAGCCTGAAAATGTTTATTTTTTTTAGGATACATGTTTTACAAATGTTCGTTGATATGTGGATATATTAAGCACAAAGACAAAAAAATGTTTATGAAAGATACATTAGTGCCTTGATATATTCATCGAGATGTGTATCATCGTTTAATGGGGTCATTCAATAAACGTATGTTTGGAGGAGATATCAAAGGAGCCGCCCAATATACACAGTGTCGTCCGGTGAACTACCACCCGACCCTGTCCATTAGAGTTATGTAATTGGTACAGAAATATATTTGATGCGGTGTCAGTGCGGAAGGAGTTTGAATTACGTCCGCCACTTGCCACAGAAATCCTCAAAGTATAGAAACAATAAACAAGGTCAATCCGTACCAATTACCTAGTGACGCACGTAACAACGACTGTCAATAGGGAAAATGGTGAAAACAAATTGAAATAGATTTTAATAAAACATTATTGTACTAAATAACTCGCAAAAGCGGTGCCTAAAATTGTTTGACCGTGTTATGTGTGTTGTAAAGTGACGAATAGCAAGTAATTGTCATGCTGTACGAATGGTTCCATATACAAATTCAGTTATACAACCGGTATGAAACTGAGAACTGAGATACCAAGTACAACCTGCATTCACACACGGAAGCAATATACTTGTGTGTATGCCCTCTCCTCTAAAAAATGTGTCACTAAAGTATTTGCATTGTAATAAATATAGTAATGATAAAACTTGGTAATTTGGTAGGTCTCCGACAGATATGATTTTCAGTTTTTTTACACCTTTGATTGATACGGATTACGTACCTGTAGTCTAATCACTGTCTCTAATGTATCTGCTTGTTAGAAATTTCAAATGTCTTGTTATAGCACTGTTCCTAAAATACGGCAGTTTCTTTTATCGGGTATAAATAGTTGATTCGTCTTGTCACGCAGTCATTTTTACTTGATCGAATGATTTCCACAAAAAATTACGGCAGAGAGTTTTGTATTTTATTATATTTTTAGAAGATTTTAGAAGATGCTTACATCACTGTATCTCAGAACGTAAAACTGATAACATTCAAACATGTAATTAGTACACAGTTAATTGTTACATATAATTTCCTGCATATTCCTTTTTGAACAAAAAGCCTACATGTATACTGATATCGGTGTCCACTGTTAAAAGGGTATTAGTGCAGTCAGCCATGGTAAATGGAGAGACAATAATAAGGTGATTAATTATAGTCTGTTGCAGAATATGCGGTATAAGTGTAGTCATTGATACATATACACATTACACATATACAGATGGAATACACGATATGATGCAGTGCAAGAACAAATTAAGATACGGTTTCTATTAAAAATAATTATACGATTTTGGATTTAATTAGCATGTTTAAATTTTCAGGCCAACACGGCTGAGATACAGCATCGGCATACTCAACTGGAGTTGTTTTCTGCCGGTCGTAAGTTCATTGTTTGACTGAGCACACTCGTGTCGGGGTTGCGATATTTTCTTCTCTTTGTTGGCAGCCTGCCACCGGTCTGAATTTTGAGAAAGGTCTCAGCATGGGACTGTTAATTACTTCTTAATGATGTCTACAAGCTTACAAACTTGTAGATGTTGGGTGCGGTTAGGACCAAACTTTTTCAGCTCAGAGTGTTAGTGGTCCTGGAACCCATAGTGTCAAACAGGTTCTGCACAAAACGTCCATCAGATTCTACTGTTCAGCAACATTGACACTGAATTTCAGAACTCTGGCATGATATAATAATCAAGGATTTCGAAGGCAAAACCTTTTCTCGCCCATGGGCGAAATATTTCAATAAATCTGTAAAATAGCTGAATTGAGTAAAATTGAGTTACATTATGTGCCATGAAAATAGTAAGAACACCTGCATGTATTTGCGAAACAAAAACATAAGTTTTAAGTAAAGGAAAATATTCTCGCCCATGGGCGAAATATTTCAATATCGCTATAAAATCGTTGAATTAAGTTAAAATGAGTTAAATTTTGTGTCATGATACTTAAATAAATACATTTAATGTATTTGCGAAACAAAAACATGAGTTTTGAGTAAAGGAACATATTCTCGCCCATGGGCCTACCCATGGGCCAGACTTCGCCCATGGGCAGGCCCATGGGCGACATAGTCTAAATATTGAGTTTTGAACATTTTTTTTTTCATTTTTTCATTAAATTTTGTGTCATGATACTTCAATGAATACATTTAATGTATTTGCGAAACAAAATCATGAGTTTTAAGTAAAGGAACATGTTCTCGCCCATGGGCCTGCCCATGGGCCAAACCTTTTTCTCGCCCATGGGCGAAATATTTCAATATCGCTATAAAATCGTTGAATTAAGTTAAAATGAGTTAAATTTTGTGTCATGATACTTGAATGAATACATTTAATGTATTTGCGAAACAAAAACATGAGTTTTAAGTAAAGGAACATATTTTCGACCATGGGCCTTCATTTTTTCTTCCTTGGTATGTTCCCATGAAAACGGCATGTTTAATTTTGTAAATACCTTTAACCGAGACTGGGCAAAGACCGTAGAGTTTCTGGACTTTTGGGTTTCCAGAATTAAAATGGGACATGTTATAGGCTTAATATACACAGGTTCATTAACTCTAAAAAAAAAAAACACCCGTCACGATTACACCCCATATCGCCCACTGGATTCACATATACATCTCACAAACACTTACATGAAGTACTGACGATGCTGGTGACATACCTGCACCATAGTCATGGCGCATTTTCCGTAAGGCCCTACGACGTCGTATGTTTCCAGTAATTATGTAAACAGAGGCGATGACGTGATTTTGTTGTCAAGCATGTCAATAGTGGCTCAAATAGAACAGTACATGTGTATCTCTTAAACAACATTCTGATTTTCCAACATTTTTATGTCAGTGGTACAATCTGTGAACCTTCACGCCTTATTTTAGTGAAATGATCATATACGGCTCAGCACCCTTTGTAAATGTATGTTCCACATATACCAAAAGCATGCAAACTACGGAGAACAACTCCCAAATAGGGAGTTCTAACACAACGATCACCATACGTCGTCATGGTAGACATGAGGGCGACAATTCCATGGTTGACGCTCCAGTGACTAAAATGTTATCCGATGCAATTCCTTACTTATATTTCTGCTACCTTGAATGTTCAGGTGAACACTTTTATTTGTGACGGGTGCCAAAGGTGGTGCAGTATACGCACACTTTTGCTCGAACCCCATCATTACTATTTGATTGTGATTCGTAAACACATGATTATGATACAGTCGGAATCGTACAATTGACGATTTCTTATGAATATGAAAAGGGATTCTAAAATGACCAATCTTATGAGAACCTTCTGGGGTTCCTCACATTATTTTCCAGGGTAGGTGACAATCTAATTAAAATCCGATCTTAGTTCTTGCTTCCGCTAAACAAAGATCTGAGGACATCCCATTACGGGTCACGTAAGAACGACCTTTCATCCGATCTATCAAGCGTCGCTTACCAGATCATGAAAGTGACAGTCGGAATGCGTTTTCTAATCATGCAACCTCGAAAACGTTAACACGGGGTATTCCGAACGACAGTTACGGCCCGTGCGACTGATGC